AAGTTTGGCTTATGCTAATTTGATTTTTCAAATATCTTTTGTAGTCATTAGTTAGTATGAACAAAGTCAATGGTACTTTATTGAACAAATAAACTAAGAACAAGTCCTAGGTAGCATGATATTTGAATTCAACCTATGGTGTATTCACACAATATATTAAGCCAATTCAACAGGCGATTTATTGCTTTACTTACTTTTTAATTTGCAGAAACTGAAATTAAAACTTGCAACAAGTCATTTTGTGAGACTCCAGGATACGCTCTAGATAGGCCTGTGTGAGCCCAGTTGAGATTCTTCACCAGTTCAGTTTTTGTTCCGCAGTTAGGCTAAATATTTTTTTTAATAAGCTGCCTGGAAAAAAAGAACTCATTGTTAAGTATGGGAATGTGGGTTCTCTGTTTCTACTGTTTATACAACATATAATAATGTTTCGACTCCATGTGTCCTTACTGCAAAGGGGCAAATTTCAAAAACTGCTCTTGCCATATTGCAATCAGTAGGTTCTTTTCACGGTTCTCTTATGCCTGTACAGTATTGGGGAGAGAAGGAATTTTCCATTCATTGCCATTTCAGAAATAACCACTAGCTGGAAAAAGATAAATCCAGAGAAGTAAATCACTGAGATAAGAACAGATTCCTTTTTTAGTCTATGTACTATTAAACATAGCTTTTTTTTTTTTGAGTTTTGATTAATTTCTCATGGTGTACTAGCAGATTTTGCTAACATGGGAATTTCACCATAAATGCTTCTCCAACCTAAACTAAAATTTGAGTGTTAGTATTTTTCAATAATTAGTTTCTATCAATATTTTTTGCAGGAAGAAACAAAATTTTCAGGTTCATGAAATATCAAAGTCTTCAGTGAACACTTCTTACAGAGGAATGAAAGAATGCTTTCAGGCTCTTAATACAGACAGCTTTCAAATGAGATCATGAGTTTTGAATCTATTTCAATTTATAGTCAATGCAAGGAACATTAACTACTAGTACATTTGTTTTCAGCATTTGGGGAGGTGTCTCATCTGCTTTCCATCTATTCAGAACATGCATCCACATGGAACCTTTTAGACAAGAGGAGGGAAATTACATCTCTAAATGTTTTTTGCAAAGATTTTCAATCACATAAAATATCTGGGAGGCAGGATAGATTAAGATAATTTATGATTGCAAGCAAACTATTGTTTGAGGATAAAAACCAAATTTATGGAGCTGTTGCTGGAATGATCCTTGGCAGTTTAAAAGGTATACACCAGCCTCTCATGAGAATCCTGCGGCTTACCTAAGTTTCCACAACAAAATAGTATTAATAAGAAAGATGCTAATAAATATGTCTTTGCTTAGCAATGTACATGCATCATTTTTATTTCTGATTTCATTAGAGTAGAGGATAAAAAAGAGCTGACATTGTTTTGGGGCATTTGTGGGATACAGTTCCAAAGCTGTAAATTGACAGACTTGTTTTATTCAAACCTTTGTTGAAAAACTGCACTGTACAATCCTTGAGGAATCTGGAATTACCAGCACAACAACAATAAAACTATGCCCAAGTTCACATTTTAGAAAACAGGCTTGCCAGGTTAACATTCAGATATGGGAGACCCTAAAGATCTGATATAATTCCTTTGATTGAATTGGAAATGAAAAAAAATATCAACGGAATTTAATTGTGTTCCTTGTAGAAATGCAGATGAAATTCTCATAATTTGTAGAAGGGATCTGTGTTTATATGATAACACTGATTTACAAGCTAGCCAACTACATTTTATCTTGCACACTGAGAGAACCTAGCTTATGTCTTTACAAGCTAATAGCTCAGTGTGTTATGTAAACCCTAAAAAATAATTTCTTAAACTAAGTTTAACACAACTGAGGTCAGAAAATTCATAGGTATTAGCTCTAGATTTCAAGCATGGTGGATACAAAGAGGAAAAAGAACATGTTTCTTGGCTCCAGTACTGCAGAAGTACTGGATTGTGATAAAAATATAACACTAATCTTCAAATGGAATGAATGAAAAGAATGTGGAGGTTGATTGGAACCAACCAGAAAAATACTGGCTGACATTATCAAAAACTGCTAAGGAGCACAAGATGTAATGCTTCCTCCTTTCACATCTTACTAAGATAAGTAATCTATGTAACTATTACTCATAGTCAGGCCTGAATTCAAACTGGTAGAGCCCTACTACTTTCTCCCAAGCCTCTTCAAGAAAAGGTGGGTGTATATAAGATGAAAGTTGTTCTTTCCATGGGATCCAGGACAGCCTTGAATGGCTGGAATGTCCTCTTCCTTCAAAGAAGCACTGACTACAACCTGGATCCAACTTTTAATCTCTTCCCAGGGAGGCCAGGGACCCAATGCACAAATGGCAGAGCAACACTAGAGAACTTGGTCCTCTTCCTTGAGATCTACAACTAAAAAATCATCAATATCTCAACTCATCTAGTTTCCAGCTTGGACCAGATAAGAACTATTTTACCAAGACTGTAATAGCTTGTTTCTTCTTCTGGCCAATCCTTATATAAAAATCTGGGGCACCTTAAATAATGCAGTTGGTCAACATTTTGCCAATGGAGTAAAAGTATGGAAGGTAATTCTGCTTCACCACCTTTATGGCTTACATAATAAGCTCAAACTTTAGCTCATACCAATGTCCAGGTATACTCATGCTTTAAGCTGTTCTCCAAACACATTCCTCTATATCCTACTTTACAGAAATAGTCTTTCACTTGAGATCTCAGGGGTGTAGACAGCCCTCAAAAAATCCTGGATAATGTCCATAAAACCACTTCAGGCGTTGCCATCTAAATCACAAATTTTAATATGTTAGGAGGAGAAAATAAGTAAATACATATGGAGCAGATATATTAATAGTATTGCATTAAAATAAAAATTACACTAAATCATTTTTTCCTCTTGGCACTCCAGTGCATGCAATAACAAGGACCTATCTGCTGTCTTAGAAATCACTTGGGATTACTCCTCAGAACGATAAATTTTCCATACCAAATTTGTAGAATAACGTACTGTTACAAATAATGCAATGGATCTATGATTATGCATGCAAGCCAACTTCTCATAATCTTTTTGCTTCTAAAATAACAATAACATTTCTATGTTGATAATATAGTTCTAATTACTGTGACATCTGCAAGCAGAGAAAACAGATAAGGTATCTATATTTTTCAGTTTATAATTAGACCTCTATTGCATTTAAGAACATGATGTTCAGCCTTACTGAATCCCAACATCCTTTCTTAAATTTTTCTCTCCATCTCATCCTTGTGACAGGAGGTATGTTTAACCATCAAGACAAAATAAAGAATTTACTAGCTAGGATGCCAACATTTCAGGGTTGCCTTTCTCAACTATACAACTGCAAACTCATATCTATCTTTATCTAAGCATTTGTGCAAGGTGGTGTTGAAAGAAAAATCTTCATCTGGATCCAATCCAAGCCTGGAATACACAAAATGGAGACTGCTTTAGAAAAGAAGATTCTTGTTTATTGAGTTGCAGAACCAGACAGAAATATAGCTCTGGGACAGCTGATCACAAGGAGCTGGGAGTGGTGGTTTTTGTTTTTTTTTACCTTCTTGGGCTTTTGTGTTTGGAATTGTTTCTGTTCATGTGGCATGAACTTTGACCTGAGGTTCAGTGTGCCTTTCTGGTATTCTAATGGTGATAGGCTAAGCCTATTATGTCTTAAAGGTCATGTCCTGCTTCCCTGGGGCTGTGACTGATGGCTATGTCCTGTGTTGGATTTTTTGGGTGAAGGGTTGTTGTTTCTACGGATCTTCGTCTTTCTAATCCCATCAGCTCCAAGCTTCCTGGCTCCAGGCTTTCTGAAAGGATGATCAAATCTGCATTTCTACAGAACTGGTTTCTCTTGGGGCAGAGAGACTTGGTGGGTGGTTTCTGCCTAAGATTTTCTATTGTTCCTTTGGGGAAATATAATATTCTGCCTTTTTAATATTCCTCAAAATATTTCTTTCTCCGGGGGGGGGGGGTCTTCCTACAGTGGTTTGGTATGACATATGTGTTCAGATTTGCTGCTGCTAAACTCTGATATATACTTATCTGTGGTAACTTCATTGAACTCAATTAAGGATGCTGCCTGGACTGTTTTACAGACCCAGGGGCCTCAACTGCATCTCTAAAATTTGGGGGCCAATCATTAAGGTGAGCCTGATTTTCCATGGTTTCAGAAGAACAAGACAAATATAAGGGGTAAATTAGACCAGCAGTCCTCAGTTTTTCATATTTTAAATCCAACCAATTTCTCACTCACCATAATAGGAAAATACCCATGAAGGACAGGAATATGTTTACAGGTAATCTATTACTGTACTTATTATTTTTGAAGAGTGTTAAATCATAAAAACACAGAATTGTAGAGTAGAAATGAATCGCAAGGATCATCTAGCCCAGATTCTGCAGTGTGCAGGAATGTCAATCAAACTGTCCTCAGGGATGATATCCAGGCTCTTGTTCCAGAATTTCAGAGGCAGAGTACCCACAATTTTTGTATCTAGGTAGACTGTTCCACTGTTGTACAGAATTTATTTTAATTAACTTTTTGACAATTTATCTAGGTCCCACATTATTTATTCATTTCCTATGTTCCAACTCGAACTGAGATTTCTGACTGCCATCTGTGATAAACTTATCTCTGGTTGAGAACAATCACATTCACTTTATTTTTCTTAGTTAACCCCAAGGACCCCAAAATTATTATTATTATTAATAATAATAATAATAATAATATATAAACTTCTATTCCAAAACACATCATCCCAACGAGACACTGAATCTTCATCCCCGCTTTTTAATTCAGTTTTCCCCAACTTGGCAGCCACTTCCATCACCCTGACAGCAGAGAGCTGCAGCAGCTTCCATTCCCCACTAGGCTCTGTTCCCAAAGCACGGTACCCCGCCTCCCCGCAACAGCCTTCGGCGCCACCGGGCGCATGCGTAGGCGCTCGCGGTCCCTCCTTCCCGCCGCCGCCGCCGATTCCCCGCCCCCTCCGCCTGTCAAGATGCGTTCGGCTTCGTCTCCTGACGTAGCGGACCCGGCCTCGGCGTGACGAGGACGAGCTGGCTTGGTCATGGCCCAGCCCGGGGAGACCCCGGCTTCGGAGTCGACAGAGGGTGAGAAAGGGAAGGCCGGGTGGGGGCGCCGGCGCCGGCGCGGCCTGCTAATCCTGCCTCGACCTGGAAGCAAAGGGGGGCGTGGGAAGCGGACAGGAATGCAGGCCGCAGAGAGAGCGAGGGAAGGAAGGAGAGGTGGTGGGCTTGGAAGGAGAGGAGCCCCACTTTATCCGCCCCTCACTTCCCACGGGCGCTTCTTACCTTCCCCGTGCCCACCCTGAGTTAATCCCTCCGTTTTCTACTACCTTAATTGTCGCTCTCCTCGCCCGCATCCTGGAAACCCTCCTTCGCCTTTTCTCTCCCTCTCTGGCTCAGCTGCCTTCCTACCAGCCCCTCGGCCTCCTGCTCCCCCCCCCCCGGGGTCTCTTCTTCTCCTTGGCCCAATGTCCCCACCTCCTTAGCCACCATCGCTTTTCACAATGACTTCTGGCTTCAGCCACCCATCACTGCGGTCTCTCGTCTCTGTCCCATCATAGCCCACCTCACCTTCTCAAGTGACTCCTGTATTTCTTTCCCTCCAGTCTCCCAATCACAAGGATCCTTCTCCTCTCTTCCACACACGACTTTCCTCCCTTCTTATCATCGTGATGAGTCTTAACTCAAACTATTTTATTTCTTGCTCATTCTGTCTCTTACTAACCCCTCTACTTCAGCTTTCTCCAGCTTGGAGTTGTATACTGGCTGCAAGTAGAGTTCTTTGGGACTTAGAATGTTGTGTGAACCCAGCCAATTTATTGTTAACTTAGTGGCAGGCTATAAATTCAGCCACAATGTGTTCCTTTTTTTTTTCGTACTTCATTGCAAAGCAAGATTTGTTCCAGTTGTTTTCTTTTCTGCTTATAGCTTTACCCTCATTCTGAGAGCCCCATAACATTTACTTTTCTGACTTTAGTGGTCTCTTTTTCACCTCTGATCCTCCTTCATGCCTTTCCAACCACTTACTTTAACTGTCACCTAAACAGTTTTTATATTACTGTTCCTTTCTTCTGCACAGCAACCACTTCCTGCATCCTTGAGATGTTAAATAGTAATACTAAGTGTGGTATCAGTTGTGGTAAGGTTGAGACTACGTTATCAGGAGTGTGGATTAATTTTGTCAACAGGTTTATACAGGCTATCTAGATCAAATAATCCCAACATTAACTGTATGTTTAATCACTACAGAGATAAGTAGACAGAAGACAGAAATACGATGGCTATGGCATTGGCCTAAGACTGGAGAGACTGAGATTCAGGTTTTCCCTCAGCCATGGAAACTCATTGCAAGATTGTAGACTAGTCACTGTTTCATTCCAATGAATCTCACAGGTTTGTGGTTGTGGCAACAAATTGAAGGAGGAATACTATGTAAACTGCCTTGACATTCTATAGAAAGGCAGATTCATATCTAATAAATAAAAAAGAATAAATAATTTTATTAATTTTCTAAAGCTGATGCCTCATGTTTGTGGACTGGTTGCTCCTTGAACTTTTCTCCTTCTGCTGTATACTCAGGCTTGGTTCCCTTTTTTTTAATCAGAATTTTTCCACTATGCTTGCACACTTGTTTTTTAATAAACAATTTATAGTTGACTTGAAAAATATTGGCAGTATTAATGAAGATATATTATGGGTGATGTTTTCTTAGAAAATAATAAATGTAATAAATAGGGGAAGTATGTAAAAATTGTAGGTAAGGAGGGGAACCACCCATAGTGCATGTACATATACAACTACCATTGGTAGAGATGTCAATTTTGTAAAATGGTGAGATAGTTATACAGAAATCTGCTACTGTAATCAAATGGCATTTAGTTAATTGAGATGTATTTGAATGTGAAACATGCATATTTTGGATGCAGTTTGCTTGTGGCATTTTATATCATCTTAATTCAAATAAGTATAAATCATGGTTAATCAGATTATGGCTTAGTGGTGTATTGATCAAAATCAGGATGCAGAACTTTATTTTTCTTCAGTTAAAGGCATAATGAATAGGGTTTTATCTCTAGGATAGAGTTTTGGGACATGGGAAGAGATTGGACGTGTATTGTAAACCACAAGGATACTTATAGAAAAGTTGTTTTTAATGCTACATAATCTTGTAAAGTAACTAATAATAATGAATCAATAAATAAAAGTAAAAAATTGTAAAAACCATCTATTTAGATAAAAATATTCAATTAATTCTTGGTACCCAGTCAAAAAAGAGGAAGTAAATCTTCTAAAAATCTAGGCTAAGTTCTTTTTAAAGAATAGAATTCCAAAAATCATTGGCTAGAATTTTTGTGTGTGTTTGTGTGTTGAGTTAATCTTTTCCACTATGTGGAAACATCCATGTAGTTTTCTTGGCAACATTTTTGAAAGCGGTTGCCATTATCACTATCTGCAGACAGAGAGAGAGAATGGTGGGCCCAAAATCATCCAGTTGGCTATTATGTAAGGCAGGACTGGAACTTACAGTCTCTCAATTTTCATCCTGGTGCCTTTAACAACTACAACCAAACTAGCTTTCAGCTAGGTTCATATACTGCACTAAACTATGATGCAGTTTGCTTGTGGCATTTTATATCATTTTAATTCAACTAAGTATAAATCATGGTTAATCAGATTATGGCTTAATGGTGTATTGATCAAAATCAGGATGCAGAACTTTATTTTTCTTCAGTTAAAGGAATAATGAATAGGGTTTTATCTCTAGGATAGAGTTTTGGGACATGGGAAGAGATTGGACGTGTATTAAAGCGATTTTCAGATGCCTTAGCTCAGTGATGGCGAACCTTTTAGGGACCGAGTGCCCAAACTGCAACCCAAAACTCATTTATGTATTGTCGGGTGCCAGGTGGGTGTGGCCCATTGGGTAGGTCTGGCCAATTGGGTGGCTGTGGACAATTGGTTGGGCATGGCTGCAGTGGTAACGGCAGACTGGGTGGGACTAAAAAATTCAATCAATTCCAGCTTTGCGAGATCTTTTTTTCTCTCAAGAAGTTGAAATTGATTGACTGATTGAACCGTTTTTTTTTTTTTTTTTTTTTGCACATGGCGGCGGAGGCCTAAAGCGAAAAGGTTTTATAAAACCCAGCTGAAGGCCTAGGACTGGGGTGACTGTGTGTGCCCACAGAGAGGGCTCTGTGTGCCACCTGTGGCACACGTGCCATAGGTTCGCCACCATGGCCTTAGCTCAAAGCCATTGTCAGCTTTAAATGTTCTTATGAAGTGACTTTATAATCGTATAAGCATGACTTTGGCTTTTTATAGGTAGTTCTCCACTCTGGACATGAATCCAAATACTGTATATTGGAAAGCTTGTAACTTTTTTATAGTCTTCAGAGGCACTTTCAGGGTTGAATGTGTAAGTTTAGTTCTGAGTAGCTACCATAGTACAGTAGGTAGCAATGGCTAGGTCTCACTTCCCCCAGAGAGATTTATGAGTGATAAACGTTGCAAAACTGGAGACAGACAGTCATGGCCAGTGTAACTACCTGAAAATAAATTACAACATAGAAGTGTGGGTTCTATGACTGTTAAAACTCTTCATGAGAATAAAGAAATCATTAACCAAGAGATGAATAAAGTCATTTCAGCCAGGAATGGACCAGATCCTACTTTTATTATTTGGAGGAAAAGGAATGCAAAAATGCTTATCTGAAAATCAACACAAATTAGTACCAAATAAACAAATATATTAAACTGTAGGACATATTTAAAGAAGAATTGCTTTCCCTTATAACTATTTTTATTTCTGTGCTATTCATAAAGGAAAAAAATATCTTTTGGTAACTTTTTGGATTTCTTTAGTGAGAGCAAAAGAGAGGAAGTCTGTTTTGTATTAAACCTATAATGTGTATTTCATTTTGGTTTGACCTGTTGGGCAAACCCAGCTTTAGGACATGATTTAGGACATGATATAATGTATGAGTGCATCTGTTAAAGGTATTGATGTAATGAATGAAAAGTGTAATCTTGTGGTTATGAGGTTCCATCCTGTCTTAAGGGAATTCAGATGATCCAGTTTGCTATAGTACTGTCAGTTTTTAAATTACTGTTATGTGAATCATTTTTAGTTTTTCATCTGTGAAATGCAGAATATTTGTATGATGATCATCTGCTTTCATTATGGAATAGTATTATAGTGGAAAAGAGGTGGAGTGTATAGATTAAAATTTGTAGTTTATTTGTGTAGTGCAGACTTTGAAAACTTGTTGGGGATTGCATATGTATGGCATGAACAATTATCTGAAACGGTACAGAGATTTGTTTGGAAATAGACTTCTTTCTCAAAAAATGAGTACAGGATGAAAGAGTTTCTGTCCATAGTAAAATGATCTAATATCTTGCTTTAAGATCAAATGAAATATTGAAGTTTGGGAGATAATGATGGCAACTTCTGAATTTTTTTTTACAAGTTGATAATATTGACTATATAATATGTTCTGGAGAAGAGTTAATAACTTCTGGTTGACTGTTAACTTATTTTATAGGATAAGATATCTTTTGTCTACCTAGTAGTCTCCAGAGGAGGTTTTATTTTTAGTGAAGCATATGCTGGTGTAATAAGAAAGGTATCAGGCTGGAAACCAGGACACTATGAGTTCTAATCTTGCTTTAGACACAAAGCAAGCTAGGTAATTTTGTGCCAGTCAGTCACTCTAGATCAGAGGTTCCCAAACTTTTGGTCACCAGGGACCGGTTCTGTGGAGAGAGGTTTTTCTGCAGACCGGAGGGTGCATGGTTTTATATGCCGCCTACATAACACAGATGGGGCTTTGCTTGTTTGTGCAGCCTGGTTACTGGCATGCCGCGGCCCGGTACCGGTCCATGGACCGGGGGTTGGGGACCCCTGCTCTAGATTATAGGGGTATCAAACTGCCAGCCCGCGGGCAGGTTGCATCGTGTGGAGGCCATGCCCACCCCAGCTCCAGCAATACGAAAAAAGTCACGATATGTCATGACACATCACATGATTTCGCAAGTTTAATACCCGTGCTCCAGAAAGAAGTCAATAACAAACCACTTCCAAA